ATGGGATTTGAACACCCAACCTACCACTTGGGGGGTTGACAACCTGACCACTTCACTAGGTCGCCACACCCCTAATTTTTCCATGTTCAATTTTACATAATTTTGATAATTTTAATGATAAATCATTAAGTGTTGTAATATCATATCGATACTTGATTGCTGTTATGTAGATGAACATGCAGTTTAAATCTTTTGTTTCTTCATCTGGAACATATGGTAGATTAATTTTTCCTGGTAATCCACATCGAACTAAAACATCATCAAGTTTATTACTGATTGCAGTTGGAAATGTTTTCTGTGCCCATATCAATAAGTCTAAAAATATCGTTTCAGATAAATGAAAATATTCACATGTTCTATTTTCTATTGGATTTACTTTTATTTGTCTATTATTAATATTAATTCCTGCAAATTCATATTTTTGTATTTTCTCTTCAATATCTTTATCAACAACTCGTACAGTTGTTTCTCTAACATAATATTTTATTGAAGATTTTTTTTATTTAACAAATTATCAACAAATTGTTCTTCAATTCCCAATATAATTGATTTTTGAAGTACAAAATTCCAATCATATCCTTCAGTATTATATCCAATTTCAAAATCTGGTCGTAAATATCCAAATAATTCTGCAAATTTTAACAATAAATCTCTTTGATCTGTTGCATTAATGAATTCTATATTATCGATATTATAAGTTTTTTTAAATAATTCATTATTTATTGTCAATGTTGATATGTTGTATCATTTCAAAGGTTCTTTACTATTTAATAAACAAAGATCCATCTGAATTATGTAAACATAATCATCTTTTTGTTCACCTATTGGTAAAAATTCTGGTCCTCATGTCGAGCATGATTCAATATCCCAATATAATATAAATAATTTAGGTTGTTCTGTTGATTCGATTTTTTGTATTTGTTTGAATATAATGTTCATATCATTTACTAATTTTAATTTATCTGATATTAATTCATACCATCCAACTAATTCAAAATTGTTCTCACGTGCTACTTTTCGATAATGACATGTATTATCATCTGAATATGTATCGTATCATAACCAAAAATTGTCTAATAATCGATTGAGTTGTTCTTCTCTTACTTCATGCTCTCTGGAAAATTTTATATGTTTTCCTGTTTCTTTATCTTTTTTTTTACCTTCCTTTATCAATTTAATATTATTTAATTCTTCTTCTAATTCTTCCTGTCTATTTTTAATCTTATCGAGTACTTTTTTATGTTCATTATGATTTGAAAAATAAAATCGAATGAATTCAAATGTTTCAGTAGAATCAAATGGTTGTTTACAAATAATTTTATAACTTTGAGGTTTGAATTCTTGACAATACGATGCAATAGAATATTTCTTGTTTAATTTTATATCGAAGAAGACATCTTGAATTATTATGTTGATTAAAAATTTACGACCATTCGAACAAACTGTATGTAATCGTAAAAAACATCCTTCATTATTCGAGTAATCAATCACATCATAGATAAAAAAAGTGTTTGTGTTAGGTTCAAAAATAAAATCTTCACGTTTATTCATTTTAGAATTATATACAAAAAAATCTATCTGGTTTTCTAGACTAGATAGATAATTTTATCATATTTTTTTATAAGCATATTCTCTAAATTTAATTCGATCCTCTTTTATATATTTTTCAGCATCTTAACAAAAATAAACCATATAAACTATATTATATGCTACACATATTTTATGAACATGATCTTTATAATATTGATTATTATAAATAAATCCTTCATCACCATGATTACTACAAAAATCTGCTAAACATTGATATTCTTTTTTAAAAAAATATTCTTTTCGTACACAATAGGTAAATTTTTCACAACGATCACAATCATATTTTCCATATGATGATAAAAGATCTGGTGTAATAAGTTGATATAAAAGATCATTTTCTTTTATATAATCATTTATTTCATATTTCTTTTCTTTAAAAAATAAATAAATTGTATTATCGTCATATTCTATATTCCATATTAAAAGAATATTTGGTGGTTCATAAGTATTTAAATCGTATTCAACTAAATAATATTTTGTTCCTTGTTTAACTAATAATAATTTGAGAAGATCTTTCCATAAAACACAGACAAATTTAAGTTGATAATATTGTTTATCGAATGGTGTGATTTTTTTAGGTAAGATCAAAGAAAAAATCATCAACAAAATCTTATTAAAGAGATTGTTCATGTTGAATAAATTACATAGTTAAAATTCTAACTGGTGCTATGCACTAGTTAGAAATAGTTTTATTTAATAATTTATTAAATTTAAATTCTAAAATAGTTTCGATCTCTGAATCTTGCATGTTTTTAAGATTTAACAAGATAGATTGCTCTATTCGCCAACTCATTTTCTCTTTGAATATTTTTTCATCATTTCTATAATATAATGGACCAAAATTTTTTCTCCAATCATTAACTTCATATTGTGTAATAAAAAAAATAATCTGATTAGTTCTATTATTAAAAGTAAGATAAAAATTGATGTCTCATTTTTTCCATACAAATTCATTGATAACTAATGCTGGAGAATCATGATTATTTTTCAAACTAAAATCTGATTGATCATTAATCGTAATAAAATTATGACCAAATGTCTTGTCAATTGAATCATATATCTGTTCAACATCTCCTATTAAAATAAACATAAGATATTTATAATTATCATCTTTTTGGTATGAATAATTATTTTTATATAGTTTTAAACGATCAAGATAATTAAATGTATGTAGAAAATTTATCTTAAAATATTGTTCTTCTTCTTTTGTTTCAGTTTGATTTAACCATTCATTTAATTCTTTTTTTCGTAGTCTGGTCATGTTAAGATCATGTAATGAAAGAAAAGTTTCATACGAATATTTCAAAAGAAATTTAGATTCCAAAAGTTGTAATTTCTTTTTTGATAAATACATTTTAATTTATATATAAAAAAATCTAATCAGTACAAAGTACTAATTAACATAAATAATATTTTTCATTAATTTGTTGTTCAGAAATATTTTTAAATAATATATAGGCTTTTTCCTCATTTTGTTTAACACCTCTTCCTATTTTATAACAATATGCTACTTTAACCATTCCTCTCACATATCCTAAATTTGAAGATTTCTGATAATATTCGAATGCTTGAACTTCATTTTTATTAACAACATTATCTTCTTCAAAAGAATAAAATTCTCCAAGTTTATAAAATCCTTCAGCATATCCTAGCTCTGCAGATTTTTTAAAACAATAAAAAGCTATTGCTTTATCTTCCATTACACCTTCCCATGATAATAAGACAACCCAGATAAAAAAGTGCCTTTAGGATGTCCTAAATCGAGAGATGCTTCAAAAAAAATCACCACTTTCTGAATATCTTGATCAACTCCTAACCCAAATCTATAGCAATATCCTAACTGAAATATTCCTTCAACATTATTTAAACAAGAAGCTTTTTTATAATACTCAAATCTTTTAATCTTATTTTTTTCAAATTTTGCAAGAATGATTAAAGCTTTTGAATTTTCTTGATTATTTAAACAATAATCGATAACCTTTTTTAAATCATGATTATTTTTTTTTAAATAATCTTGTAATGGTTGAGTAGTTGATTGTTTATGAATCAAATCATATAATTCGTTAATGATTTCATTCATCTTTACATATAAAAAAATTTATCTGGTCTTTTAGACTAGATAGTAATAAAATATCTAAATTTAATTGATGTAATGTATTTATTATTGATATTGATATCATATTTCTATCTTTAACATAATTATTTCTAACATTATCAAGAAAAAATTCATCACATGAAAAACAAACAGTATGCTTATGTAAAACATATTTTTTATCATAAACATAATATACCCTATCATCAACTTTTCACGTACAGGACAAGAAAAAGTTTGACAATCGAAATTTTGTATAAGCATATATTCGTTTTTAACACAATATTTCAGAAGTGTACAACGTTCACATATAGTTTTTGCAAAAAATGGAATTTCAATTAATTCTAGTAAATGAAATTGAGAACTAGCAAATGTATTTAATTCAAATTTATCATTGTTAAAACATAAATAAATTATATCATTTTCATATCTTGTATAGAAAGGTACTTTAATTGGATGTTCATGAGTATAAAAATCTTTACGTACTAAACAATATTTTATTCCACGTGTTTTATGAATCCTTAAACAAATATCTTGCCATAAACGACAAACATATTTTAATCGATAATAACTTATTTCATTTATAAAAATTTTTTGAGGTAAACAAAAAGAAAATATTGATATAAGAATCTCATTAGGAACAAAAATCATTGTAATAAAATTACATATAAAAAAATCCATCTGGTTAAATAAACTAGATAGAATAATTATTTATTATCAATATTAATCTGTAATGATTTAATAACTAAAAGTCTTGGTATTAAACCAAAATAAAAACTCTTGAAAATTTTTGTAAAATGTTTACATTTTTCTTTGTCATATACTGAATTTACTAAAAATTTTAATTGATATGATAATAAAGAATAATATAAAAACTTTGTTTCATTATTTTGGTATTTGATTATATTTTTTCTTACATTAGTTTGAATATATAATAATTCTTTAATATCTTTTTCTTTAATTAAATCTGAATATGACATTTTTAAATTATATATAAAAAAATCTATCTGATCATAATAACTTGATAGATTATTACAAATGATAAAATTAAAGAAAAACTAAATAAAATTTAAAATATATTAATTACTTAATTTCAATTCTTTAGGAACTGGAATAAGTACATTAGTAATAAGGTTCTCAATAGAATGAGAATCTAAGAATATTAGAAGTTCTTTATAAGATGAAGTTTTAATTTTTGTTCTAATCTCTTCAATTGAATTTAAATTAAAATGAACAATCTCTCGAGATACTTCTTGATTTTGAATTAAGGTATTAACAGTATTATTAATGAGAGAAACTAAAAAATTTCTTTTAGTTTCATTGAATTCTTCATTAGGAAGTATTGAAATATGTATATTACAATAAATCTTATAGAAAAGAAGACTTTTCTGCATCGTATTAATAACCAATGAGTCTAATTGAGAATCCATATTTACCAATAAAAATAAATATTCAGTTTATTAAACTGAATATTTAATAATAATAAATATTATAATAATTGATTAAAAAAAAGATCATAAGATTTACGATCACATTTCTTTTGACATAGTTTGAAATCAATACAATTTTTACATAAAACAATCTTGTTATCGAACTTGACATGTTCAGGATAAATAGTATCAATACTAGTTTCATATAAATCATAAAGTTGTTTTAAATATTCATTTGAACATGTTTCACCATGTCTACTTCGTTTTTTTTTATGTCTAGTTGTTGTTCTAAGAGGTGGGTCTACATAAACAATCTTATAAAATTCAAGATGATCAGTTTCAATAACTTTCTTATCCACATATTCTCGTTCATCCTTATTTTTAACAAAATTGTTAAATATATTCACGTCTCTGATAGTACGATCTTCAATAATATAATCATAATTCATTAAAG